AACGTAACATAGATTTAGTATGTGTTGTAGATCTATCAAAAAAGCTACCGTAGATCTATCAAAATCGATACTTTTGCAACCTAGAGATGTGCCTCGCGCGAAATAAACCTGGCATATATTTTATATATCATGTGATTTCGCGCAAAATGTGAAATGACTTCATATAGGACGAAATTTAGAATTCAACGGAAGTTTTTCTTATCAAAAATTTTATCTTGCTCAAGACATAATATCATATTAATCGCATCCCGCAAGGGCATCACTGGTCCCTTCGGTCACAGGAGGAAAAGTAAATAAGGACAACTTGGTCGATATGAACAAGTCGTTCAACAAGGATAATTGTCCGGATCGTTCCATTGTTTTACACATGACATCGATCACAAATTCTAGAATTTTTAAGTCTTTGATGCTCCAGACGTATCGCATAATTCTATAATTAGGATGATTAGGTCAATAAGGGTAATTTTTTAATATGAAATTTTCAAAAATTTTTTGAGTGCATTTTTTTTTAGCTCTTCTTTTTTAGTTAGCTTAGGTTTTAGGGATAGTTTCGATGATAAAAATGTATAAGTGAATTTTGGTAGGGTTTATATTTTTAAATCGAGGTCCTAATGTTCAGCTTCAGTCGTTTCCAGCCGCGACAATACATAACACAACATTATAATCGCTAAACCTATATACTGTACTACACTAACCATTCGCCCAAATCTAACATCTCTTTTGACCCATTCGAACCTACCGTTTTCTCGTGAATATTCGCAGTTATAAATAACCGACATCTGGATATTCGTTCAGTGCTATTCGTGAATACCAAAACAATATTACTGAATAGCCATGATATTCAAAGGATCCGACCTAAACCTAGCATACATTTCACATATCGCACGCACGACTTTATCGCGCGAGTTTCATGTGATAAGAATTCATTTTAGAATAAATATTTCATTAAAAAATTTCTTAATCGAATAGTTTATCTCGTGAGAGTTGCGAGAGATCGTGGGTGCGATAGTTTTATCATTTCGCGCGAGGTACATCTCTAGTTCGACCTCTATTGCACTGAAACATTTTAGAGGATATTTAGTATTAAAACAAAAAAAAAAGCAAGCAAGCAAATTCGATCGTTGCTTACTCGCTTTTAACTTCCAGCTAATGGCAATGGACTGATATGCTCTGAAAAAGATATCAATGGATATTGTCCATTAGGTCAATGGACATAGTCCATTAGTAATTACTAGGCCACATTTTTAGTCCATTGATCAATCCTAGCTTTATACGATAATTTATGAGGAAGGCCGAGTATTATGGCATTGGGTATTAAAGTGAATATTTTTTGATTTATCTCCGGACAAGAGTTCGCATATAAATATAGGGCACTGGATAATGCTAAAACTAATGTTACCACTTTTCTTTTCGATTTGATAAAAAAATTTTTTTGCCAAAATTTTGATTATTTCACTTAGTGTTATCAATAAACTGAACAAAAGTCTAGGCATTTTACATCAAAAAAGAATACTAATAAACATTTATAAATTTGAATTTGCGTGACTGAAAGTAAAATAGATGAATGTTTTGGGGGTAATAGATGCACGCTGTTCATGCGTTCGTAGACATATGGATGTTTTTTTATATATATCCTTAAACCTCTACTTTGAGTGGTCCGTTTAGCCAGTGCTAAGGCTTTGAGTGGTGCACGTCGGTTACGGTTGACCCAACTTTTGTTTGGTAGAGTATATCAGGGCGGCCCCCCCAAAGTCCGGGTCGATGATTGTTTACGACAATGGCGGTGGATAATCGTGATAAGCTGCGGCAGTAATGTCGATCATCGATCCGACGTCGATCATCGACCCGGACTTTGGGGGGCCGCCCTGATATACTCTGTTTGGTACACATTTGATTAGGTTTTATGGATTTATATATTTAAAGAAGTATGTATCTCGTACGTGTTTTGTTGTTTAAGCCGGGAAACGGTCTCGGAGACATCTTCTGATAAAATTTACACGTTTGGAAGTGAATATGACCGAATTCGAAAACTTTACGTTTGTAAAAATAGCCTTAATTACATTTATAACCACCCTCAGCATATTAAACCTCAAGTAATTGTGGATGTTTTATTTTTATTAGACTTTTTTTTTTCTTTTTTTTTTAGTATCAGCAAAATGAGATTGAATGTGTTTGGTTAGTTCTAATTATATGTACACAGATATTATTGGACAAATGAGCCGCTGTAAATGTAGACAAAAGCAGTATACTGAACAAGAAACGTACAAATTTAAGGGAATGAAATAATAAGTGAATAAACAAGAAAAAAAAGTAATAAAAGAAAAAAAGGATCCAAACAGTCTGGTATAAGAATAAGGGAAAATATATTTCAAACCATTCAATTTGTACGGGCCTTCTTGTGGGCTTCTTCTAAGTAAATAATAATTTGTGATTAATTACGTATTCAACTATTTTTGATTACATAACATTTCAATCCTACCTTCATTATCGTTCGAGTAAGGTCTCTCACGCTTTCCTGGGGAGACTATTGTCTCATTGTCATTTATCTCATTATCATTTATCGTTGGATCAAACTCACTTGCAGTATATTCAGCCACCCATTCGTCAATCGGAGCGAACAAATCATTCTCCTTTGAATCATACACATTTGAGAAATCAATATCATTTAATGAGTCTTCATTAAAAATATCTTCACGCAAGTCATCATGTTTATCACTAAGTAGTTCATTCGATTCCAGTAGTTCATTTGATTCCAGTAGTTCATTTGACTCTAGTTGTTCATTTGACTCTAGTTGTTCATTTGACTCCAGTTGTACATCATCATCTTCACCTAAACCTATGCCATTTTTATCACTAGGTAGTTCATTTGACTCTAGTTGTTCATCAAAACGTTTCACCTCATCATCTTCACCTAAACCTATGCCATCTTTATCACTAGGTAGTTCATTTGACTCTAGTTGTTCATCAAAATGTTTCACCTCATCATCTTCACCTAAACCTATGCCATCTTCATAAGATTCTCGTTCAGCAACATATAATTCATCTGTTTCACTATATGTCGCTTGCTTTTGATAATAAGTTTGAGAATCTTCGTCATAAAATTCATCTTCTTCATCATGTTCATCGTTCTCCCATACACTACCGTCATCTTCATCACCAGAATAAGGTGGAAGGTCTATATTGTCAATATATGTTTTAATTTATTCAAGGTAAACATGAAAGTACATTTGCTAACGTTTAGAAAACATACCATCGTTTTCTTCTCTAATACTGTTATTTTGTTCGTCATTTACATCTTTAGATAGTGGCAAAGACGCGTCTTTTGATGCTTTAAAAAATGAATTACCTGTTCCAGATACTTGGTCTATTTTTGTTATGACGTCTTCACCGGGAGATGTTGACAAATTATTATCGGCATCATCGAAGGGCTCAGGTGATGAGTCTCCGACGATAATTGGATTTTGTGCCCTCTCCCCGACGACATCTGAACATATGATTTTTTATAAATATTTAATATATATAATATAATAAAATGGTTAACTAATTCATTATTTAAATAATGAAAAAAAAAGCGTACCATCATATTTTCGATACTGTGAAATAAATCTATCTTGTAAAGTCATTACTACGTGAAGATCTGCCGAATCAAGATCACGAGATTTTCGATATTTATTATGGACATTAATAATTTTACCAAGTGTAAATTCTTGTGAATATTTATTATCCTACGTAAATTATAATTAAGTCTTAACTTAAGTTCAAAATTTAATAAGTAATTTGCGACTATAAAAATACCTGTGACAAAACTAGTCGGAAATCATCAATAGCTGAATCTAAAAACGTCAATACCACTTCACCATCATGTGTTTTGTCACGAATAAGGTCATCTTTGAGATCTTGCATTAACTCTCCCAAGCATTTATCAGACTTGATATATATATGATTCTTTTGGCCTTCATATTCCAAGATGCAACGGGATTGTCCACTATTTGAATGGTCATTTTCTTTTTGGGGTGATC